TACAGACAGATAAAGCAACCCAAGTAAAATTCCGAAGGTTACGGACTAAAATTACATAGGTTCCGTAGGTTATGGACTAAAATTACGGTTACGGTTAATGCTTTTTTACGTGCAAAGGCCTTTACTGTGATTGGTTAAAGCCTCCGCTACAATGATTCTCGGTTCTGTCTACAATGGTCGTAGTCGTAAGAATAATCGACTGCGATTGGTCAATTCTTATGCGACTGACTGAATTGACCAATCGCAGTCGATTATTCTTACGACTACGACCATTGTAGACAGAACCGAGAATCATTGTAGTGGAGGCTTGATACGGGCTTTACGCAAGTTACGCTCCATGTGAATCCAGCCTTAGCGCTTGCTAAGCGCTTTGCGCTCATTGGATTATACTTTCAGATCTGTGCTGAAATAGAGCTATTCTTCTAGATCTATCCAATCAGCATAAAGCGCTTATTAAGCGCTAACTTCTGCTGAACACAGCCATTGGTCAATTAGCTGGTTTACGAGCCGTGAATCTTGGTGAGTTTCGGGACGCTCTTGAACGCTCACTCGAAGCTGTCGTAAGTCGCAACGTGGTAGGGAAGTGGGGGAACGTCGCACCGTCCTGCCTCCCTGTCTGTTGGCACGTTTCTTCTAGCACGTTCGGAATTTCGGCCATTGGACCACCGCTGAGCCAACTTCGGTATTTGTCCGCTCAAGGTATACCTTTGACGAAATAACCACACGGAACCGATTCTCCCTCGATTCCCGCTTACCGTTTCACCAATATCGCGCGAGACACGTTCACGAATGTGCGTAAACTCGCCGATCGATACTGCATACGATCTGGCCGAGAATCGCACGTCTCGCGTGTCTCGCCGAAATTTCGAGGGATGATCGGTCCGTCGAAATTGTCGCGTTTAGCGACAGCGGCAAGCTGCTATTTCATTTAAAGACTACTGCGCCCGTACGTTTGGTTTCACACGGCGGGAGCACCTTCCGTTCGACTCTGCTGCGTCGTCTACAATGCGTGGAGCAAGGCTGATGGCAGAGAACAATCCGTAAAAGCTCAAGACTGTCTTAAGTCGTGGACGAAAGGGCCTGAGCAGATTGACTGTCTTGTACTCTTAAGACATAAGACAGTTATTGTGCGTTACCTCAAGACGAAGGCTTGAAACATTGTCTTAAGGTCGTCTTCAGAATATAAGACAGCCTTAAGACAATGTTTTATGTTTTAAGCCTTTGTCTGGAAGTAAGGCCTGGTCTACAATGAGTTGTTAGTCAGAAGTCGGAACCATATGTTGATCCTTTTCCTTTCTGGGTGGAAGAAAATGGACCGACATATAGTTCTGACTTACGACTAACAACCCATTGTAGACCGGGCCTAACGCACAATAACTGTCTTACGTCTTAAGAGTACAAGACAGCCATTCTGCTCAGGCCCTAGAGCTAGGCAGAGAAAAGCTTAAGCTGTATACAAGAGATTCACGATTTAAATGTTTCTCTGCCTCGCCTTACGGCTACGATCAACACAGTCGTAAGCGTTTATGGGTTCTGTCATCGGCCTAGGCCTGGCGTAAAAGCCGTATCAGACTACGGATTGAGATTGAGATTAGATTGAAATTTGACCAGTCACAGTAAAGTTTACTAATCTCAAGTTGAGTAACTTTTACTCTAATTTGTCAATTTTCTAGCACTGGCTGATGGCGTTCCGATTCACCGAGAGTAAACATAAGAGCTGATGTAGGAGTAAGAAATAAAATTGATTTCCTTTTATTCCTACTCCTTACCCAGGCTTAAGCCTTGTGTCCACGATTCAAGAACTGTGTCCAGGTTCTAGTTCCAAGAAATGTGCAACCAATCAACCTGTATCTTTGGTGGAAAAGCTGCAAGTTGATTGGCTACGCATTCCTTGGAACTAGAACTTGGGCACAGTTCTTGGATCGTGGACACAAGGGTTTACTCCACGCATTGTAGACGACGCATCCCAGATCATCTGGCAGTGCTAAAGTATGCAGAATATAAATTCCGTACAATCTTTTGTGTGATTATCTCGGACTGCGCCAAGTATCAGAGCGAGTGAGGCACTTGACCTCAAATTTGCACTACATTTAATACGTGTGTTTAAATATTTTGTAATTTGGAGTAATTATATAACACTTGTTATTTTTTATCCTCCCAACTCCAGTTAAGTTTCGGTTGGCAAACGATGGAGAGAATATCTCAGGGTCGGGTCAGTAGTTTCTATCTCGGTTCTCAGTTCAGATAACTAACAGGATTTGTTATCAACTTTCACTCACAAGTTTCTTATTAACCAAATTCGATTTGTAGATCGTCCGTCTATCTCAACTCAATTTGGAAAAGGGCTGTTTCGCACGATTATCATCTCTGTGAGATATTTGATTATTGGCAGCGCAAAGGATATATTTACTTGGAAAAGGTGGACAGTTGTGTCTGCAAATGTATCATTCGCGATCGTGGAAATTGTTGGTAAATATTGTATCACGCGCGGTTCTTGCGAACTTCGCGTGATACAAATTTCCGCCGAGGAGAAGGAATTGTTTGCTCCTGTTACGCAGCTATTTAAAACATCTTCGTTCGTGCAAGCTAAATGTTAATTAAATATTTTGGAGGTAATTCTTCAGTATAGCTCCAGCACCTCAAAAATCATAAAAATTAATGTCATTCGACGCGTTTTTGAACGAGAAACAACTTTTTCCTCAGGCCAAATCGGCGCTCTCTCTCGCGAAGCCCACACGTCAGACGTGAGGCTTGTTTTCTGCTGCTACGCTGGTGAACTAGTGCAATAAATTCGAGTAGGACAAGTATATTTTTTTCTAATTCTAGCTTACTGCGCTAATTCACCAGTGCAGCAATAGAAAACAAGCCCATGGTTTGGGTGGGATTATATCTTAAGGAAGTGGAGCCTCTCCGAAGGGGGGGGGGGGCGGAACGTATTGTCTCCACGCATACATTTCTCCACATAATTAAGTTTTCAGTCCACTTCGTTGGAGAGCGAGAGAAGGGCGAAACCTTACTAAAAACACACACACCCCGTGGGGAGGTGCAAGAGGGGCCTTCGGCTCCCTCTTCCCGCATCCACCCCGTCGGTAATGTGCGTGGACCTCGATATGCTTTGTTCACTCGCAAGCGAGGTCCACCCACTTGCACCTCCCCGCGGGTGTGTGTGTTTTTAGTAAGTACAACTCACCAGCTTGCAATTAAATAATTAATTTATTCCTAACGGTTCGTCGCTCCACGATTCTCTTAGTACTCGTAACGTGCCACAGAATCCAATATTGTTGATGTCTGGATTCTTCATTGCAGGAACATTTAACATCAGAATGTCAACGTTCCTTGGGCTTATCGACGAGATACCAGGCATCTCGGTGGATCGTTTTGATGGAGAGAACCGGAACTCCTCGGCGTACTTTCTTAGCCATTGTCATACCGATCATATGGAAGGCTTGAGCTATACGTTTTTCATGTATTTGATACAGTACAACAAGTACCTCTATTGCAGTCCTATCAGTAAAATTTTATTAGAATCTAAGTTTGGTGGTAAAGATAAGGGTTCCCTGTTAAATTTTCCCTGCATTAAGGCCATTGAGGTCGATGAAAAGTTCCTCGTTGAACATAAAAGCGAAGGCAACGTAGAGATAACTGATCTCTTTGTAACGTGTATTTCCGCCGGACATTGTCCCGGCTCTGTGATGTTTCTTTTCGAAAGACTGGATAAATTTATATTATATACCGGGGATTTTAGAATCAATACACGTGACTACAGAAAACTAAAGTCGTTGCACTATCACGTAGATTCCAATAGATTTCCAAAGAAGCTTGCCAAGATGTACTTAGACACGACGTTTCTGGATAGCGATTTCAGGTCTTTCCCGACAAGGAAAGAAACTATTAATGTGATGGGTAGAGAAGTGAGGGATTGGCTGAAGAAAAGCTCAAGGAATGTTGTTGTTCTAGATTGTTCTGCTACGTACGGCTCCGAGTATCTCTACAAGGAGCTGTCGACATTTTTAAAAGATCACATCAAGGACTCGCGTGTTCACGTTAAACATTATGTACACGAGAGCTATTGTCGCATCTCAAACTTGGAAAGTTATATTACGAATGATCCGTTGAGCGCGCGTATACACGCGTGTATGAAGAAAGGCGAGAGTCTGAAATGTCGCACTGACGTCCTCGAGGAGAACATATTAACGATTGTACCATCAGCAATGAAATGGAGGGGAGAGGACAGTAGTAAAATCGGGGAGTGGGATAAGCAGAAAGCACGGATGTATAACGTGTGCTATTCCGTGCATGCTTCTTATAGCGAACTTGAGGAATTTATACTATATTTCAAGCCAGAGGAAATATATCCTTGTGTATGCCCGAGCCACGAAAGTGGCAGAATATTTTATTTGTTAAATAAAATCAAAAGTAAAATTAGAAGATAAAAAGAGGAGGATGATACGGCTAGCCTTCTTTTATAATTGTAAAAGAAGGAAATTATACCAAATACATGTTAAATCCGTAAACGTCAAGTTAAAGTAAGCCGCCAAGTATCTGATGATAATAACACAATAAAGCTAATGAATAATTTGACTTTTGCGCTTAAGTTTAATTCTCCGATGATTGTATTAATCTTATAATTATGTACCACTAACAGATAAGTCACCGTTACGCTATGCTTTAAAGATTAAAGTTTGTATTTTGATAGAATAAAATATAATTAACGATATCCTTATTCAAACTGATTCTTGAGCGCAGTACGAGGTGGATGTAACTTGAAGAAGCACATTTACGCGTTCAAGTTGTACTCTTTTTATCCTGCTTTTCCTGTTTTCAGAAATTGATAGCATTTTTGCTTCGTAAAAGTTTTACGCCGAAAAGATGGCGACAAGGACCTCCATGCTGACCAAAGAAAAGGTATGGTTAGAAAAGCCAATCTACGACAGGGCAGAACGGCACTATTTTGAGCATCTCGCCAAGGTAAGGGAATTGTTGTTGCTGCTGCGAGCATCCACTGCTCAATAAATAAAAAGCGTTGTCGGCAGGGAATGGAATAGAGTAAAAATGTTTAAACACATAGATCATTGGGTAAATCGTTTACCTCCAATAACCATGAATATCAAGTATATAATACCGAGTTTTTATTTTTATTACTTAAACCATATCCTTCGAGACATTCATGATTCATCGATTGGATCTACTAGTCCCGATCACAGCATCCATAGCTAGCTCGCATTCGTTCATTCTCCTATGTTTGTGTATGCATCATGTTTGTGTTACTGTACAACTTGCTAACATTTCTAACACTTCTAACACACATACGCGGGAATATCTGGTGATAACAAAATTATCCCTCTGCTCTCTTTCTTCGTACTTGAGGTGGAAATTTTGCACAACGAGAAATTCTTTCTCAGCGTGATGTCAATTACTTGTGTATATTTTTTATAAACAAAGTAATAAAATTACATCCTAGTCTTTTAATGTTATGAGTCACGATTCTTTCATATCTGCTGATCGATCATTCAAGCGTTATACATCTAATGCTTATATTTCAACAATATTTGAAACACTGTACATGATTACATAAACGTGTCTACTTATAATGTCGAGTAGGAGCAGTTGTATGTATCGGTTGCATAAAAGAAAACGATTTTGTTTTTGCTTGTTGCGTTATTTGGAAGACGTTGATCTATACTTGCATAGCTTGGGACATGTTTCAAGGTGGTGTCTCGTAAGATCGCGGGAGGCTGCACGCTTAAGTCTGACAGTTCGATAACTGACAAGTGCCAAGATCTAATCAGTACTAATACGTTGAAATCTAAGGCGGAAAAGTCGAAAGACAACAAGCTAGCTCACGAGTCGAATGAATCGAATATGAAACGTTCCAAGTGCCAAGGGAGAAACGCGAAGATCAATAAAGACGCCGCGGACGTGTGCAACATGCAGAATAAAGAGAACGCAAAGACGAGCGAGAAATTCGATAACGCTTCTCCGTGCGAGAAATCGAAAAAGTATAACGCGAAAGAGGCTAAAGAGAAAAGGAACAAGGAAGATACGAGAAATAAAAATAGGGGAGGTGGAGGAAACGATGTCGGGGGAAATAAAGAAACTGCAGTGCCATTCGCGAGGAATAAAGAACAATTGCCCGACCAGGTATATGCAATCTGTGGGTTACTGTTCAGTGTATCTCGACACGATATATAGACGATATTTTCAGTTGACTTTCCGTTGATTTTATTTCATCGTACATGTAGAAAAGCGCGTCTGTTACGTTTCGCAGTTGAAAGAATGGCATCTGTTTCTTTGTTCCGTTTCATTTCCATCTTGCATTGAAGGCTTTATTGTAATAATGCGTTCTACCTGCTACAAATATGGTTTATGCATGTATCATCGCTAATAATGTCATTACATTCTTGGTTATTTAAATAACAAAGAAGCGCCTATGGTTTTCTCTCGCAAAAGACTTCAAATATATTATATATATATATTTTTTTAATTTGATTAACCGTTACTCTAAGGGTGGAGTCCCATGGACCGGAATACGCGGAAGCGGAATCAGCGGATCGCCAATCACAAAACCGTTTCGACGGAATTTTTGAAAGGGCTCTATCAGAATAATCTTGCGATTGGCGATCCGCTGATTCCGCTTCCGCGTATTCCGCTCCATGGGACGCCACCCTAACACTTTCGTCAAAGAATTTTAATTTTAGGTATTTTTTTTATTTAAAGATGCTTTTGAGCTTTCTAACGTTGCCAACTCTTAGGCTTGCTTAATAGTACTTACATTGTCAAAAAGTACATGGAAATACCTTGGATAATTGTCTGTTTCCCCTTTTGTGGACAATTTTTGGTACTTGTATTCGATGAATTCTCAATTGCACGTTTAATCACAAATGATTTAATAAGTTCCCCCGCATGTTTGCCTTTATAAAAATGTATACTAATAAAAACGTACTTACTTTAATGTGTAAGTACTATTGATTTTGTAGTATATTGCCGCATTTTTATATTAAAAAAATATAGTATCGTTCCACTTTTTAATACTTTCGCTATGTATAATACATGTTAATGCCTATCTCCACGTGTGTGCTAGCTTAGTATCTAGAAATGTATACTTGAAAACAGTTTGAAAATACGATTTGTATCCCTTATTTATATTTTCCATAAAAATAAAACTGTCTTCTTTTGGTAAAAACGTTTACTCGCTACATTTATCGCAAAAGAGTAGTGCTTGTATCTCTACTGTTATTCGAGATTATGTTATTCTATTTTTTTGTAATTAAAAAGAAAGAAATCTTTAGGAGTAGCAGAAAACCTCCTCTTGTTAGTAGATCCGAATCTTTAACTGATTTTGATTTTGTTAATGTTATTAATGTAAACTTTAGTGGAGATATGGCATGTAGTTGTTTCAAATAATCAATTTGGGTGTGTGAGCTTACTTTTAATCTCGGTGGATCTAGGGAACCCAACAGCCCATTTGCCCAATCTTGCCTGCTGTTGGAAATTTGGCCAATGAGGTTGCGAAGGCTCGGCAGCATATTAAACAATCTTTACTGTGTGTGAGTACTGCACTCTCTCGCTCTTTATACAATGTAATATTCACACAATCTGCTTAACTAATATAATAAATTATCACTTAAATCTGTTCTCGCATCGCCTTTCATCGCTTCTTAGGCATTTTAGAATATAAAACTAACCTTGCGAATGAGAAATGAATGTTAAGTGAAAAGAATTTTACGTTTGTAAAATAACTGTTAAATATTTCATGCCTTATCCACACGAAAATGTTGTACATTTACGTAATAACAATAAATTATTAACTATAAATATACTAATGCAACGTAGGAAGATTTCTTATAGTCACCAGTAATGAATAAAAATTGTAACGGGAACTTGTAGTCAACCCAACTGGCTAGTTGCTTTATTTAATTAATACAACGATTATTTTGTTGTATTAATTAAATAAAGCAACTAGCCAGTTGGGTTGACTACAAGTTCCCGTTACAACAAATACTAATGCAATCCTGTATTATTTATGAGGACATACTTCATTGAACGTTACAATTTTCATGGATAAAACTGGATGCAACAATTAAATTTATTTTTGTTTTGTCTCGCTAATTATCTTACTGCAAGAGTAAGAAGTATAATTTTTAGACCATTAAATCATATTTTTCAGATGGATGACATTGCAATAATCGCTCATAGCGCACATCAAGATGTTACACCTCGTGTTACAAAACTCGAACAGGAAAATGCGACTCTGCGATCTAGTATGTATATTACATATTATTTTAACTATTACAAGTATTATTGCGAATATTAGTTCTCTGTGTCGAAAAGTTCTATGTGAAAACTATCAGTAATAATTTATGAAAACTTCAGATAATTAATTTTTTTTAATAGGTAACGATTTAATACGTTTAATAATTTACATTTGTTATTTCTTGCGCTTGCAATTTAATGAAATATTTTTATAGGGTGCACATATCTGTTCTATGTATATGGTACTTTTAAATCACATATCAGCAAATTAAATTAATTATCATAATAATAATTTATTTTATTATGTGTATATAAGGGAAGACTATGTAAAAAATCGTATCAAATTGCAAAACTTCCTGCCGTTGTATCGATACACAGTCTTAAAGACAGAGAACATGTATCAAGGTTTGAAAATCTTTTTGAATAGTCATTGAGGACCTGCAGAGTACCATTGACAAATTGGTGAATGTTGTTGAAACTTTGGGAGGACGTGTGGCAAGCCTCGAAGCACGCGTACCTTACATAGCAGTTTGTCCTGCTAAACCCGAGGGACCAAAGCATGAGCAGAAGCAGAGCAAAGAAAAAGATGATGAAGATGTTGATCTGTTTGGTTCCGATTCAGAGGCAAGTGAGCAAAGACAGTAGAAATGGTATTAATTGGTCTCTTTGTCTAAGGCGAATGTTTAAGTTTAATTTCGTATAACACAGAAGTAACTAAACACTACACACTGATACTCTTAAACTAACACGATTGTTAAGATATGTAAATTTATATTTATGTACAATTGTGTAACATTTATTATTTGGCATACACCAGATATTCCCATAATACTGATTCATCCAATATTAGCACTTTTTTCACATTCATTATAAATCCAGTATATAATAGTGTTCCTTCGCGAATTATAAAATCCGTCTGTTTTTTTATTACTATCGCTTACGATGAAAATTCTTACTGCATTTGATTCGATAGGGAGAAGATGCAGAGGCTGCCAAAATTAGGGAAGAACGACTTGCTGCGTATGCTGCCAAGAAGTCTAAAAGTATGTAACAGCAGCTCAGTTGTCCACAATACATTATTATTAATCGACTTGTATCTTGCAGAGCCAACCATAATAGCTAAATCAAGTATCGTCCTGGACGTGAAACCGTGGGACGACGAGACTGATATGAAAGAAATGGAAAAAGAGGTGCGGAAAATCGAGATTGATGGTCTCCTTTGGGGTGCTTGTAAGTTTCCATAACATCTTTTGGTCGTTAATATCGCATGCGAATCCTATAATTAAGGTCTATTCTTTTTTCGTAGCTAAACTCGTGCCGCTTGCTTTTGGTATTCACAAACTACAGATTTCGTGCGTCGTGGAAGACGATAAAGTGTCGGTAGATTGGTTGACGGAACAGATCCAAGACAAAGAGGATTACGTGCAAAGCGTCGATATTGCAGCTTTCAACAAGGTGTAAAGAAACTAGAACTAAATTATAAAAAGTGCGCGGCAGTATAGTCAAAAATAAGCATGGGTCTATGTGCCATTTCTACATTCCGTTAGTAGTATTTGTAATCGAAAACTGTTTATATGCGCGTTTTGCCGCATTAAGTCAAAAGATAAAGATATTCTAAAACTATTTGATGTTACTACAATCTGACTGTCTAGAAGCTTGCAAAATATGAAAAGCAGATTCAACAGTAAATTTAGCAGATTTAGATCAATTATCACGTAATTAAGTCTATTTGATATTATTGACTCTCGTGGTAGTGTAAATGTCAAAATTTGTCTTTCTATCTTTTATTTATATATATATATAATATTTGAATAAATTGCAGCAGATTGTTTTTACTAAAAGTAAAGTTATCTTTTGCCATTTTATGTTCTCATATTGTTATCTTGAATAAAAAAAAACATTTGGCCAATGCAATACATATATCTAGTCATTTCTGATTTATAATTGCATATTGCAGAAATTGTTATTTAAATTTTAACCAAGAACATTGCCTATTCCTAGATCCATTTATCCACAGACGATTTATGTCATTTGTAAAGATTTAATGTTTAGTACATTTGAATTATATACGTATATATTTCAGGATTTTAAAATAGCACAACACACATTATTTATTACTGATAATGTATCATCATGTTGGTATTCTCTTTCATCGTGATAACAACCAAATTAAAACAATATTACTTAATGCCACATCTAACAAAATACTATATTGCGCAAGTTTGCATAAAAACATAAGTAATCTTGATTTCCTCACTATGCTGATACAGTTTTAACATAGAACACATATGTAGATATTAATAAGAAATATTTATTACTAGACATGAAATCTATCAACATGAAAAAGAGATAACCATTTTTGTTATATCGTAATTATTATGACAAAATTCTATCGTCACAATAGGCTTCCCAGAAAACATGCTTGTCTAAAAGACATCTTTAAGACATAAGACGTCCTTCAGACACGCATGCTCTCTGAATTGTTTCCTATTGCTGCACTGGTCAATTAGTGCAGTAAGCTAGAATGAGAAAAAATATACTTGTCCTGCTCTAATTTAGTTCGCCAGTGTAGCAACAGAAAACAAGCCTAATAATTAACAAAGATTTTCAAGTGCGTAATAATTTGAAATAATAAAACTTGAGACGTAAGAGAAGCGACCAATCGCGGCCGAGAACGTCGGCAGCCATTTTAAAACTTGGGCGACGCTGTCGCTGACTCGCTGTCGCGTAAACGCATAGTGTTTAGGTGTGATTTGTATTTATTAATGTAATTGAAATAATATTGTACCGTGCACAACTCTAATAATGAGTGAAAAGCGTGAACACGAAGGCAGTGACGCAGAAGATGACTGGATCGGGCCGTTACCTTCGGAAGCTGCGCCGCAAAAGAAACAACGAGGTTAACTGACGAAATTTAACCTCTTATTAATTTCCCGTTAATATAACGCTGTTCAAAGCTCGTGTATCTATTCTCGCACTTTTTTACCTCCTCACTTATCGTGCATATGACGTAATTACTTTCCAATTGCCTGTTTCAAATAAATGTAAACGTAATGTTTCTCTACTCCGTGGAGGGGAGTTGATTTCCTGAAACTTTGATTTTTCTATTTTCCCCGCTTGTAACACCTTTTGATAAAAGAATTTACGTTCCTCTAGTGAGCTACGTACACGTTTTAATTATTTCCTTTAATTTTATAGTCTTGGAGTATGAACAAGTTTACATAGACAACTTGCCATCCTGTGAATGTTACGAGAAGTCATACATGCACAGGGATGTCATTACCAATATTTTAGTAACAAAGTGAGTATCTTAGAAATAATAATTACAACAATACGTAGCAGTTTTCCTTTCCGAACAGCCTATCAGTTAAATTTACCTGCGCAGATCCAATTTTGTGATAACCGCCAGTTGCGACGGTCACGTGAAATTTTGGAAAAAGCAGGAGGAACTAATAGAATTCGTAAAGCACTTTCGAGCGCATTTAATGGCGATACAGTCAATGTCTGCCAGCTGCAATGGTGTTCACGTCTGTTCAATCAGCATAGATAAAACTATGAAAATATTCGACGTTATTAATTTTGGTAAGTACAGGAGCTCGCACGGGGCTCTTTCTTAAAATATTTAGAGGATATATTTTATTTGTTCTGTCCTGTATGTTATTTAAGATATGATAAACATGATAAAGTTGGACTTTGTGCCGTTTTGCGCCGAATGGGTTTACTCAGCTGGCGATGCCATATCCGCTGTGGCAGTGTCTTCGCAAGACTCGAATAAAATATATATCTATGACGGTCAGGGCACAAGTACACCTTTACACGTGTTCGAGAAGCTGCATACTAAACCTGTTGTCATTATGAAAGTAAGTTAGACTGTAATGGCAGATGCAAAGAGGAGTATCGATACGCGTTGGTAAAGATAAGAAGAAATTAACATATCTTTTCTCCCGCAGTATAATCCAGTGTACGAGACGTGCATCTCCGTTGATAAAGCCGGTATATTAGAGTACTGGACAGGCCCGAAAACGAAGTACAGGTTTCCCAGATGCACATCGTTCGAGTCGAAGTTGGATACCGATCTGTTCGAGTTCGCCAAAAATAAGACTTACCCGTGTGGCTTAGCGATATCGCCCGACGGCAAACGGTTTGCGTCTCTTAGCGGAGACAGAAAAGTTAGGGTTTTTAACTTCCAGACGGGTAAGCTGTATAGAATATTTGACGAGACGCTGCAGAGATTTAGCGAATTGCAGCAGACTGTACAGCAACTTCCAAACATGGAGTTCGGACGCAGGTGAGGTAGTTGCGTGTAATCGGAGACAAACTCGTGGTTCTCATTTCTCCAGCAAGTGTTATATTAATTCTATTATTATTGTAGAATGGCAGTCGAGAGAGAGCTGGATAAAACCGAGACAAATTTGGGAAATATTCTTTTTGACGAATCGGGTTATATTATTCTATATCCCACCATGCTGGGTGTAAAAATGGTGAATCTTTATACAAATCGTTGCATTAAGATCATGGGCAAGCCGGAGAACATACGACCAATGCGGCTAGCATTGTTCCAGGTATGCAATAAAAGTCGGATAACTAAAGCTCGAAGGAGCAACGTTCAAGTGCATAATTCAATAATTCAACGTAGGGCAAAGCGAGAAAGACCACTGCCGCGTTGACCGTTGAGATGGAGGCTTCTGAGAATCCCACGATGGAGCTGAATCGGCCGGATCCGACATTGTTTTGCACGGCTCACAAAAAGAATCGGTTCTACATGTTCACGAGACGAGAGCCGGAGGATACGAAGAGTCAGGAATGCGACCGCGACGTGTTCAACGAGAAGCCCTCTAAGGAGGACATCATATCTTCTACGGAGGCTACAAACATGCAAAAGATATACGACACGGCGATAATTCACACGGCGCTTGGTGACGTCCATGTAAATCTCTTCGGCAAGGAGGTCCCTAGAACGGTGGAGAACTTCTGCGTGCACGCGAAAAATGGCTACTTCAATGGCCACATATTTCATAGAGTTATCAAAGGCTTCATGATACAAACGGGAGATCCCACTGGTACCGGCACTGGTGGTGAGAGCATATGGGGAGGCGAGTTTGACGACGAATTCAAGCCGAATCTGAAGCACGACAGACCGTATACTCTGAGCATGGCGAACGCAGGACCAAATACGAATGGCAGTCAATTTTTCATTACATTGACGCCGACGGTGAGTATAAATTCTTCGTTTAAAGTTCCCCAGAAATGTATGTCCGCGAGATTTCATCTAACATAAATATCTCATTCGTTTTTTAGCCCTGGTTAGATAACAAGCATACCGTATTCGGCCGAGTTCACAAAGGAATGGAGGTCGTGCAGAATATCAGTCAAGTGAAGACAAATCCGAAAACTGATAAGCCTTACGACGATATACGAATAGTTAGCGTGACTGTTAAATAATTTTATATAATAAAAATCGAGATACATTTGTATAAAATATATCAATACACTTCCCTTTCTCAGTCATCTCATGATCCGTACCATTGTTGGTGTGCACTCACTTCTGCGCCATTTGATATAATAATCCTCTGACGAAATTATATCCTCCCGTAGCGCAGGTGAATAAATTAACGCTGAACAAATTGTAATTCTTTGGTATGATAACCAGTGAGTATCTAGAATTATGTCGATTCAGATGAATCAGGACGATCAATCTTTTACAATAAATGTCAAAATCTCAAGAGATATCTGTATACCTAGACCATATGGCACCTGTAACCATAAGACTCGCAGTTTGGCTGAGAGATACCATATCCGCGGGTCGTTTGACGTCTCCTATACCTGCTATAACCAGGCCCCACTTAAACGTTGGCGCCCAGAAGAATACAGTAGTCGGACCTAACAATTTTTTTTCGAGTCATTTTTTAATTCAGCGATCTCTTTCTCAGGAAAATTTTAATTGGACCATACCTGCAGGATGCAAAAACGCGGTGCGGAATCTCCCAGGTAGAGCCGAAGCGATCTTCAACATTAATCTTTGATAAGTACTGATTTTTCCAGGTAATGCCATAATTTTGCTTTATAGAATTACTCTGCCAAAGCGGAAAAATATATTTTACAATATAAAAATTATATGAAATCATAATATAGTCTGTAAAAAAGATGTAGATAACAGCTATAATCTCACATACATACATATATCTCGCATTTTAGTAGTGACTTCATTCAGTAAGGTATACTGGGTACCATAAATGTTTTAACCACTCACGCGTTATTATATTTACGGATTATACGTATAATTATTTGTGAAGACGAAGAATTGCCTAAGATAATATTTAATTAATATGCTAATAATTTTTTATTTTTTTAGTAGCAAGATATTTTCGCTTTGATTGAACATTTCGCTTTGATTGAACATTTTGATAGAAAATATGAAATATTTCATAAAATATACATTTTTAATTATCTTGCTTTAATAAACTTTTATGCATAGAATAGTGATATCAATCGATTGATGTAAAGAAAACATAATTGCGTTTAAAAAGCAATTGCACGTTGCTGATGACTTTGAATGTACTCAGAATTAATACACTTTCATCAAACCCAAGATACTATATTGCATTGTAAAACGAATCGAAGCCAGTGTGTTTGACCAAATTATTCCTATGTAACAATCGCATTTCATACGCTGAGCATTTGATTTTATTTACTCCCGCAGGGATAACTGATCCGCCACAGTTATTTGAGTTTAGCGAACTCACGGACCCGAGCTCATTACATTGCGGGCACTCACATACATTTATACATTACATACACCCATATACACGCGGTTTATAAGCCGTACTGTTAATATTTTTTTAACAAAAGTAGAAAATCAGTATATGAAATTTTAACGCTGAGTTTCGTAAATAAGAATTCATGAAGAAGCAAAAATGAAAGAACACGAAAAGAAGAGGAGACCAAGGAGGAGAAGGCAGCGAGACATCAAACATAACAGCGGAATAAATATACGGTGAATATTTCATTATTTATTTATTATTTTCGTATCACATACGACACGGAATTAATTGCATAACTTTCGTGACAGTCTAGGCACTAATGTCTTCCCGTATGAATCTAGGCACATATAGAATACATATACATTTTCCATGTATAAGCAAAATATATAAATGTGTTGATGTATCCACACATTCATAGGGGAAAGTTCTGTGTTGCTTAGTATACACTAGGAATCACTGATGCCTTCTCACATAAATGTGTGCACATATCAACGCATTTATACATTTTGCATATACATACATGAAAAATGTATATGTCTTCTACTTGTTTCTAAATTCATATGGGAAGGCATCAGTTCCTAGTGTACATACATACATACATACAAGCGCAGTTTTATGTCGACAAAATTATCTGTCATAAAGATTTGCCCCGGAATGTGATTAAAAGTTAGATACAATTAAATCTCGATAAAATAAAAAGACAAATAAAATGTCGATAAAAATAAGAGACTTGTCTTGCAAGAAGAAATCGAGGCAATGCTGGAACGACATGGAAGAACTTAAGTATCTGATATGTGCTATTGACAATTTGTACGTGCAGTTTAATTTAGGAAATCTTAATGAGTCTTAACGTTCAAAACTACCGCGTATTCTTTATGCGGTAGAAGAGGAACGCTTAATTGTTAGTTTGTGCTGAACGACACATCAGCCGCTCTAATTTCAAAGCGTTATAATATTTATAGCAAATGCCCAAGCGTTCCATCATCGCCATCGTGCAGCATAATTTTACCTCCGAGAATTGAAGAAATTCCTTGCAAGATTTCACCCCGGAGACCGCCTTGCGTTCCGCCACCTCGATGTTGCCCGATAACACCTGGACCTTGTTGCCCCTGGCTCTTGCCACCCCCTATATGTCCAGCAACATTACCGCAACCACCGAATCCATACTGCGATTCTTGCCACCCTTATAGTCCACTACCGTGTTATTCAAGCGAATAAAAGGACATAGAAACTTCAAAAGGGAAGAAAGCACACGGAATTAACACATTGATTGCCATGTCTTTTAAATGGCATTCAATCTTATGAAAATTCTCAGAAAGCCAAACACGTTTTCCTCTCATAATTCTTTCGTAATTTATTTTCTTTTAATACAAAGTTGAATTTTATATTAAAATACTAATAGAGTCCGTCATGTTTTTTGGAGTAAAAATTAAACTATAGATAGAAAACATGTTTTTAACTTCCTAGAAATTTTTCATGAAATTATACGTCGTTCACGAATGACGTAGCAATCAACGTGTATTTATTTTAATTTATGCACTATTTATCATTTTGGGATAAGCAACGGTAAGAGAGACCAAAGAGAAAATCCTTTTCTTGGCAGAAATGAAAGAAAGAAATTTATTACAAATCCATATAAAACATTCACATTTTACTCGATTTTAACGGAAAATCCGTACATACAGCCGACAGAATCTAATCAAAATGTCGGATATCTTTTTCCTTTTCTCTTTTCGGGAAAATGAGGTCAATGCAGCCACAACGGTACACTCTATTTCGACATCATAAAATCCCGATAGTTGCGCCTTTCGCAGGGTTGTATGATATGTACCAAATAAAAGCATCACCGCCGTTTCTTGTGCAGTATCGATGATGAATAGACACCAGCGTGATACAGACAGGATCATTCGTACTTCACACACATGAGTTCTATCATGGCCTAAACCGTTATCTATTGATACTCTCCGCGAAGCTACTTTGCATACAAGATTTACTTGGTCGAATGTATTTGTTGATCCCACTCCCGCAACGAGAATACCATCCCTGCTCGTGCGTTGTTTGAGGATTCCGATATTAACGAGCATATCCTCACTGATTCTAGTGAAAGAAAAAATACGCTCGCCTTTAAGTTCAGACAATTGTTCGCGGTCGAAGAATTCATGCATCGCAGAGATTTCGGCGAAGCAGTTTTTCCCATGGGTTTTTTTCCTGATTAAAAATTCGCCGCTACGAAGCTTCGTGTAGCTCGATCCTTTTGTTAACTTTCAGGTAATATGTTCATCCACCGCGGATCCGTATCTTCGATCTATCACCGCGGATTTTCGTCGCGAGAGGCAATTAAAATGTCTATACAAATTGGCGTTTTTTATCATTGATCTCCGGCACACGAGGTAGCAAAGCGATTGGCTTTCCTGTTACCTGATATTATTACGTAATTGCTATTGTTATTATTACTACTAGCACATGCTTTATAAACATTAATAATCTACATTATTGGCTACATTATTGGCTTATCTGTAATTCGGAGAAGTGGCGAACTTACAATAATCTTTCAAGTAGACCGTTAGCGTACATACATAGCACAAATACGACGCGAAACACTGGCAGATCTTTGCAGAATTTTCATTCTGAAACTGCCAGAACGAATTTTGCGTCTCAAAGTCGCATTATCGCAAATTACATTAGTCTATTCGCGTGAGCTTATGACAGCTCGGCCCCCGTATCAGATGCAGAGTATTCGCATCTCGCAAATGTAATTTTTATCACACGTCTCGTTTCGTTATCGATGCTTTATTTCCGATATTATATCGCGTTGCGCTCTTATCCTATTTTCAGCGTCACATGGAAAAAAAAACTTACTCGGAAACGGAATATATAATAATAATCTTCGTGCGCGCGAACATAAAAGTGCGAAGTAACGTACGATAAAATTATTACTTACACGCTTAACACACACACACGCACACTGTGAGTGTACGTAATTTGCTTTAAGAGGCTTACTAGATTGCTTAGTGAGAAAATACATTTTGAGGACAGATGGAATAAAAAATACAATATTTTGACATTAAAAATGAATTTATTTATACAATCTCGTATCTATAAAAGACTGTAAATTCAGAACAACATTTTTCAATTTCTATCTGCCACATAAAATATTTGCCGCTGCAAAACTTTGCGTCTCGAGACTATGTCTGTGTAAATTCCAAACGCTTGATCTGAAACACAAAACCCAAATATCTTTCTTTTATATATGTACTGTTTACAGAGACTTGATAAAGGGAGATTTTAACGTTTCTAGCATTTTAATGGCATTATAATCTTTCTCCAACTTTTTCAACTAATTCTTCTTTTCGAAAGGTCATATTTGTGAAAAGCCAGAATGTTAAGCTCCACTAGGTTTAAAAAAATATATCTAAAAAATATTTTAATTTCGTGCTTTAGATCAGTTCTTCTAATGTTATATTGCATAGAGACTGTTTTAGTGACGAACATTTTATGCAGAAAATATAAAGAAATTGAAGATTTGTTCTTATTTCCTAACTTTCCAGATATAAAATTGTATAAATTTAATAACATCAAAATGCGCTTTTTATTCCGTCCTTCAGAGAAAGAAAAAATGTGTTTAAAATTATTAATTTATTATACAAAATTTAATTTTTTCGCCGAACGGACAGTCTGAATAAGTTAAGCTCCTTAATCCTTTCAGGCTTGACTTTTTTTAATGAGAAACATACCTCTGTGTTTTAATTATATTTGAAGGTTTCACTGATGTCGCTGAATACAAAAATGGGATTAAACGTAAAAATTCAAAGTAGCAGATCTAATATCGCGCATGTAAAAACTAAAGCGTTTTTATTTTAATAAATTTGTATCGAAACATTTTCAGAATCGCAAAATATAAAAACATGAATTCGTAAAGCAGATATAACATTGATGAGAACTGTGTAATAAAGTCCAGACATTTTCAGTCTAATTTGTGTCCGCAAGTATTAAGCAACAGCACTATTTTGTTCCTGTATCATTGAGATATAAGAACTTCGCGAGAGTTTCATTTACACCTTGTATATAAATATTATCAGAAATTTATATTATTAAAATCTTATTTGAGCGAGGATAACACTGTACACTGTGTTAAACCTTTCATAATTCAGAAAACCTCTCGGTCTTACTAGGAAAATAATTTTTACATATTTCATGATAGCATTTACCACAATAGCTTTTATTAAAATTTCCTTTAAAGTGGGCCCCATTTAACTTCAATGACTCAATCTTTACCAGAGAGAAGATTTTTCTAACGCCGAGACATGTATTCCACCGGACGTGAAAGAGTTAATTTCTCCCGATTTGAATTATTTGCGCACGAGAGCGGCGACAAACTTGCGCTGCGCTTCGACAATAAAGATTCGAGTTGAATAGAACATAGTCTTTTTTTCTTGCGCGCGAATACCAAGACTACGGTCTAGTTTCCTTCGCGCGCCATCGGTATTTAGCAGGGGCGTGAATTTCTTTGTATTTCAATTTGCGCCTGGCACTCGGAGAATCTGCTCGATATTCTTCGCAGTTGTGTGCCTCGCGTTACCGATTCGTCGCGTGGCCTCCTAGATCAGATAGACGTTTTCTCGCCTACGTCGCACAATCCTCACCTATTTGCGAAGATAGCGCACGTATTCGCGGACCAAGGCGCGACATGCTCGGGTGATCGATAGCCGATGAAATCACTTTTCTTTCTTGCGCCGTACAAGGGACGCGCTGTACGAGGAGAACGTTAGAGAACGAAGAGGTTCTCGCAGCTCTTGGTTTTCCTCTTGAAACCGAGCAAGTGCTTCAGGATCCGCCTGCGGTGCTTGCTACGACGGCGTCTGGTCGCCTGGTCCCGGCTGCGCTGCGGGTTCAGCTTGATCTGTGCCAGAATGCCGACCAGGAGCTCGTCCACGTGATGAGCCAAACCCGACGAGGTCTCGATGAATTTGCAACCGCAACTGTTCGCCAAACGACGGCCAACTGTCGGCAGGAACGGTGAACTCGAATGTCACACAAGCAATTACAACTTTAAAACCCGCTTTAGACCATTTCAAATTTCTGGCTGGGATACCACTCATAATTTTATATGCTGCGTACTTTAATATACGTGGATGCACTTTGAAATATATTTTATATACGTGCGCATATTTCGATTCCTCAAACGTTTTTCGTATTACGTCCACTTCAGACGATCTGCAATTCGTATCGATAAAATTCTATTTACAATGTTATATGTTTTATATATGCAGTACGAGAAATGTTTGAAGAATTATAAATCATATAAAATATATTTTAAAATACACATACAGGTTAAAAATACATGGCATATAATTTTTTAAATAAAATTCTATCCTAAAAGTCTGATGCAAACGTCATAAATTGCATAAAACTTTCCACAGATTTTTCTATGATTTAACCTTGTTCCTACAAAATTGTATTTTTTTTCCTTTATATAGAACCTCAGTCACAGATTTGTTAAATGCTGTTTTTACGAGGAAGTGAACGCTAAAGTTTTTGTATGTACAACACAGGATTTTTTTATTGATTGAACTGAGTCTGAGAACTTGAATTATTCCCGGAGGAAGACCCGGCGAAGAAGGGTCGAAACGTTTGTGCTATTAAAGAGAAAATTTGATTCTAAATTGTGAGAACCGAGTTCCGTTCGTTTTGTGGCTCGCATTGGCACTCTCTCCTTTCTACATATTTTGATTTATATCTTTCTCAATGATTCTGTTAAAATGGTTCGCAGGTCGTGACTGTATTGGGGAAAATTGACGTGAAATCTATGTACTCACCCACCGACGGGACCTCCCGCTTCCTCTCGAGGTCCACTTTATTACCGACTAGGATGACACCGTGGCTCGCCATGTAATCGCTCTTCCACAAATAGAGCAGCGTCTCCTCGGCCACCTTTAAGCTTCTTCTGTCCACCACCGAGTACACCACCACGTACACGTCCGGATTGTAAGTTGAACAAAATGTCTCGACCTCGAAAAGACGAAGGGGAAAAAATGGGAAAACGTCGATTAACGGCGATTCGGCTTTCATTTTCTCGCCGAACAATAAATTTTATCGTTCAAATAACGCAACGCAATATCGCGATGAATGGAAACAGAAGAGGGAATGCCGCGACGTTTAAAAGAAGCGTTATTTATTTTCCAATAACTCGCGTACCTATAATATTTCATTTTGTAAAAACTCTTTACGGCCCTACGATTCGCAGCAGTGTCCCCGCTTTTTAGTCGTACCCAGATAGTACACATAGTTCTATGAATATTCTTCTGGAGAGTGCAATTATTCTCAATTTCAGAATATTCCAATCGAATATTCTATAAATATATATATATATATATATTATGAATATCCGATTCCTAATTGTAATAATCTATATATATATAGATATTCATAACAAAGAAGAACGCTTTTAGAATATTCATGGAGTTTATGTATTGCACATTGTTTGTTGTGTAATACATTTATCTTATGCAAAAGGCAGTGAAACCTGTGATCATATATAACCGACGCGCTATATTCGATAGATTAATCTATGCACGTTCGAAAAAGATTTATAGCAGTGCCAGTCGAATGTTCTACGAGCATAAGATAAATATATAAGAATGACCTATGGAATATTCCAAATATTCCTGGTGAATACTCTTAAAATGTTCATAGGAGTGTCTTGTGCTATCTGGGTACATATAACGATAGCGCTTTATTATATCAAGCATCCGTGTAAAAAAGTCCGATTCATCTTGATAAATCCGTGAAAATAATTGCCTTAATTCCCCCTTCCGCGTTACTGACTCTTCCAGGTCTGCTTGTCTTCTTTAATGGATAAGAGAACGCTATACGTGTCGCAGTTTCTTCTCTCGTCTGCGCGCATCATCGTGTTGCGTACAATGATTTATACCGGGGTGTATCCCGGGGGTTTACACCGGCATCTAATCGACAATAATAGGGAGAGAACTCGATAAAGATGACGTCGTGCCATAACTCTATTTACGAGAGCGGCAAATAAGTTCCTTCCGCTATCCGACAGTTACTCATTTAACGCAATTTGTTGGGTAATTGACCTCTCGATGCTTCACTTTGGCGGCCCGACATCTCTCCGCTATTTTTACCGTAACCGAAAAAAGAAGAACGTCGCATTTTACTCACTGACATCTCTGAGGCGGGGTGATCAATGATCTCCAATTCCGTCTCCTGCCCGTCGATCATCACGGATACGTTCTTCTGTCCGTACTCCTCGTCTGAAAAGCGCAGCGAATCGACGTTTGCAATACCGCACGATCACTTGCACCAGCGACATTTGCAATACACCGTCCTATCAGGCGGACTCGCGCGTCATCGGTATACGCGCAAAGGCTCGTAATTAAAAGTAAAAACTAATGATGATTAAGGTCTCGCTCTAAAGGTTTAATCGAAAGATAACATAACGTCCCCGTCGTGCGTACCCCACGCTCCTTTCCATTTCTCATACCGCCAGAAGCGAGGCTCAGAGGCTTTCATTGAAAGCGTACGTGTAGATGTGTTTATCCGAAGGGACAAATCTAATTACGCCCCGAACGACGGCGAGGTAGTTTCGTAGAACTGCCGTTTACCGTTCTTTTCCGAGGGTCCATTATGATCTAGATTCAACTCGTGTCGTCAAAGCGGCCCACCGGGAAGAGAGGAGAATATTGCCTCTTTCGTATACAGAAATATCGATAATGCTCTCTTTCTCTCTCCCCCCTCCCCCCCTCTCTCTCTCTCTTTCTCCCTCGGCAAGGTACTTGGCGCAAAATCGATACAACGGGGTCTACTTTGAGAGCCCACGCGAAGGTACTCGCGATGAGTACCAGTACTCGCGCGGCGAGTTCGCAAGCGTATGCGGTTTCAATAAAATCGGCCACGGGAGAGTGACCTCGACGGCGGAAACGCAGCGGAAAATATCGTACGTACTACGTGCATTGCCCGGTGGGAGGACAAAAGAAAAAAAAAAGAGAAGGAAAGCCGGAGACGAGAGGAGCTAAAGCTTTCCTTTCGGGTCAATAGCGTATACCGTGTGTTGTCTTATCCATCTTTTCCGCTCAAATGTCTGCTGTACCAGATGGACATCCGCCGTCCGATACAGATGTTGGATTATCCGGGGGGGGATTCGATTGATGCAAAGTACTCCGGTGTTTGTGCTAGGCGAAGCGTAAAAGTGAGATCCTCGCTCGTGCGGCTGAGATAAGAGCGGCTTATCGCGCGCCGTGGCGAAGTACATCCATCGGGGCGCAAGACGAGCGAGTTTTAATTGCGGATAGTTTACGGTAGCTCGTTGAAGGGGGCGAGTGAGAGCGCCGAGAGTCCGCGGGGTGAGACAAAAGCGCCAGCGTCAATGCGCGTCACGGACGATTCATTACAAGCGAAAATTGCTTCCGAGCGAACGGCTCGTGCGAATTAATTGGCCCGGTTGGACTGCTAAATTACAGGTTATTACTATATTGTCGTCTGTGTGCGTGTGCGCGTAACGAGAGAGCCGCGGGACGCGATTGGATTCGGTTCTTCGCACGCGCTGGATCGCGCGACACCGATCGCGTTGCGATTTCGACCGGTTTCGGCCGGCAACGCGAGAGGCAACTTCGCGGGAGTAATATTTTACCATTAGTTGCACGGGAGCATGTAAAATGGAGGAAATGTAAAAGAATTCGAGAGATGCGGATGGAAACGTAAAAGGTTAATGAGACGTAAGATGCAACTCGCATACAAAACTAACTTCTCCGACGTAGCTCGCGAAAAATAATTAACGCTGCGCGCGTTTGTGGCACGGAGAAAATACTACGTTATAAATTACGCAGAGAAAGTGTCCCTCTTGACAACATTTTCTTGCAAACTCGCGACATAACGATATTCATTAAAATTGACGATCGATTGTACGCACATTTCTGCTAATTGTTGTGAAAGGTTATTTATGTGTTTTGAATTAATTAAATCATAACGTGCAACGCTCCATTAAATTTTTATCACACCTTGGAAATTATTATATTATAACTTATGCAAAAAATATAGAAGATATATTAAAAAATATGTAAAAGCAACTTTCTCATTATGAACATTTTTTCTCAATTTAGCAGATTTTGAGCGTTTTAAATTGCACGTGAAACATTCGAGTGCTTGCAAAAGCCCATTTGGAAAATAGAAAATGTGTATAATATATCCGAACAAAAATGCCGTAATTTTCCAGAATAATACAAAAACTTTAACTTCTATTACAACACGCTCCTCGCGCGGGGAATAATTTATCGGAGGCATAATCGAACAGTTAATTGATACAATCAAAGCGCTTTAAGGGAAATGCGCGTCCCACATAAATATATGCTGTACCGCTTTACCCAGCGGATTAATTAATTCCGTTAAATGCAAGTGCGCGATCTCGCGAACAATCCGGCACAGCTCGCGACTAGTGCTACATAATTAAATGCGAAATAGCCGTCGCGAGACGATCGTTTGCCGTACGCGGAGTTCCAGAGGCGACGTCCATCAGGGAGCGAAGGATCCGAAGATGCTCCTTTCAAGGGCAGAAATGAATGACGTCAATTTCCTGCCACAGTGGAGACGGCCCTCCAGTCGATTGTGCGATTGAAAGCGACCCGTCTCTTCGCGAAGGATAATCAATCGCCATTTCTCGATCACGATTGATATCCATGGATTTTTATCGTACGAGTTGATCTCGTTGTCAATTGCTTTTCAAGTCCAACCGGTTACCCGGGACGGAATTAATTTTTCCGGGGTACCGGAAAAGGTCGGAACTGAACGGGAGGAGCAAGCAAGAGTAAAGACAGCCACGTGCTTACCGAGAGAGGCGTCGTAAGCGCAAATGTAGTCGCTCGTAGTGAATTGTGCAGTTAGGGCGGTTTTCCCGACTTCCGACGCACCCAGCATGCCCACTTTGTACGTCGCCACCCTCTCGTTGCCGGCTTCCTCTTCCGCCTCTATGCCAGAGAGCTGCGAGGCCGAGCTGAGGAGGAAAAAAAGGAGGAGCGTAATCCGGCGAATGAGATATTACATTACTGTGAGACCTCTCGCTTCTGGAAAATTCTGTTCATACCGCGCTTTATCCCGATCATTCGCAATTACGACCCCAGAGCTCGTCGCCCATTATGGCGGATATACGCGCGATTAAAACGACTCTCTTTCGTTAACAACAATGTCCACAATTTTTATCCGATACGCGAGCTTACTCGGGAAAGGTGCGTCAAGTCCGTCGCGATCTTTATCAAGCTCGTCGCGGTTATTACGCGCGACGTGAAGCGGTCTTATTTTTCATGATCATGCGGAAATGTTGTACATAATGATAATTCACACTTTGTGGAAAAAGAAACGCGAAAACGATTACATGCTGCTTTTATCAAAATTAAAGTAAGCTTCTCCACAAATATCAATTCTGTTCTACCTGAGGTCCAAGAATAAGCTTTCGCCGTCATTATTATTGCCATACAAGCGCTTTCTTCTGTATTTATATATAATATCCTATGATACAATTGAGTATAATTATATATTTTGTTCTTTTCTAGTTTTACCATACATATTACGTTATGTACAACGAAGTTGTATATAACAGCAATACATACATTTGCTACTCTTATTTATATAAAGTTCTTTTAATTTTTTTTGAGGGGGAAAAGTCTTCCCTTTTCTCCCTCTCACTTGAATTGCATGTTATTTCTCGCGAAAATAACCGATACAAAGAAAACAAAACCCGTATCCCAGGGGATCTACGTTTTAAAATAAAATCATGCGGAAGGGAAGGCATTCAACATATTTTTCTTCGTTTTCTGTTTAAAATTAAACAAATAAATGTTCTTTTGCTTTGAAAACAGGAAGTGAAAAGAGAATGTAGGAAGAGGTGGACTTGTGAAATGTGAATCTACATATAACTCTTAGTGGCAAGACAAGCTGCGAGACGCACAGTAATGCAATGTATTCAGATATAATAACACTACAAAATCTCTCTCTCTCTCTCTCTCTCTCTCTCTCTCTCTCTATCCTTTCGTCTGCTTTTCTGAGGAAACCATTTAGAGGAAAACTTAATTTAAATTATTCGTCGTGTTGTCGGTACATGTGTGTTGCACCATCAAGCCGCATTCCCAGCCACTTCAACCCTTTCCGCCCTCTCGCTGGGGGAGCACTTTCCGGGATTACTCGTCACCGTCGCACCTATCGTCAACCCGAGGTCTCTCGGAGGATTTAACGGTGTTGAAAATCGCGCCGGAAAATGCAGCGCGGAAAACGAGGAAAGAGAGAGAGAGACAGAGAGGGAGGGGGAGAAAGAGAGGAAGAGACAGGAAGATATAGGAAGAGGCAAGGAGAGACAGGGGGGATAAGGAGAGACAAGGGAAGACAGGGAGAGACAGGAAGAGACAAGGAGAGACAAGGAGAGATAAGGAGAGATAGGAAGAGACAGAAAGAGACAAGGGGAGACAGGGAGAGACAGGGAGAGATAGGAAGAGACAGGGAAAGAAAGGGAGAGACAGGGGAGACAGGGAGAGACAAGGGGAGACAGGAAGAGACACGGAGAGACAAGGAGAGATAGGAAGAGACAGAGAGAGAAAGGGAGAGACAGAGAGAGACGAGGAGAGACGGGGAGAGACAGGGAGAGACAGGGAGAGACGCGCTCTCTAAATTTTAAATCGGCCTAGACACGGATGTAGGATGCCTTTAATCTTTTTTAACGAGACAGAGGGTCGGGAATGGCTCTCTTTACGGTTGCCTCTCCACCTATTCGGGACGCAGTCTATGCACCGTGTAATTATCCGGGGGCAATTAAGGTGCCTTTAAGCGCTCGTGCAGTCGCGATTACACGGAGTTCCGCGTGGAACTCGTACGACGCGGTTGGCAAGTAATCGAGTATCTCACTGATAACCGCGGGCGAGGCGGAAACCGGGGCGAAAGACGACGCATCGAATATCATCCACCGCGGGAATACGCGCGGGCAAGCATAAACAACCGTCCGAGAAGATCAGCGCGAAACCTCCGGGATGATTATCCCGAATAGAAGCCACCGACGAGAAATTTTGATTTGGTAAATATCAATCTCCCGTCAAAGGAAGATAGCTTCCGGAGGTAGCTTTCGATTTACGCAATCCGCGTTCCGCGTGATTTATCCGATAGGTCAAATTTCTCCCGTGAAAGCGAGTAACAAGCACTGAACAAACACACATAATAATTATGCGAATTATTAATTAATATAACAATATATTAATTATTCTACTTTATTTATTAGGCTTACACGTGACTATTTCACGAATTGACAGAGATTTTAAAAATCTCATCGGACACAAGTTATTTTGTCCTAAAGGACTTACAAATTTAACGATAAGATACGTTCGCTTTTACGTACGCAAAGACCTTTTTAGATCGTAATAAACAATTTCAATGTTTGTCAATTTGCATATTGCTTCCCGACGGATACAAACAAGTCAACAACCGTATCACGGTCCATCCTACCGGGAACCTGTGTTTTGCGTAAAGTCATGCGGGGGAAAACATTCGACGTATTTTTCTTTGTTTTCTATACCGACAACGCCGCGACGAACCTTTTGAAGGAGAAAATAAACAGCCCGAGACCGGAATGGAGATGAAAATGCGGAGGAGCAGCACGTCCACACTTCACACGGGTGAAAGATTATTTTCCAGGGTCCCACTCTCGCCCCCCCCCCTCCTCTCATTCTCTCTATCTTCGCGGTCACATGCATTATACTTTTACGCGTTATATTCATAATGCAGGTAACCATAGCGACGAAAGCGTCCAATTATAACGTTCAGCCGTTGAGCTTTAGCCGCGGCATCTTTATAACTCTCGTTATTATTATTCGCGAGCGATAGCACGAAAGAGATATAATTATCTTCGTTTAATCCGGCGGCTCTCCCCGCTCCTCTCGTAATAGCCGCGAGTTGCAGGCGCGCCGGGGATGCAGTCATTACCGCGCGATACGGTGTGACTCCGGTTACAGCGCGTATTGTAATTTCACAATACACAGCCGCGATGCAAAACGAGTCGTTCGTTTACCCAGTAGTTCCGGAGTTGTACGCGCGATTGTTTGCCGGATAACCCCGGGATATTTTCGAAATAATTCCAGAGGAAATCTCGAGTCCCAAATCGGAATTCAGCCGCGCGCGTTTCGATGAAGTTTATCTCACACTTTCGCCGCTCCGTTTATCCTCACCTGAGTAATCTACCCTCCCGGGTGCTGCTGCAGCTAGTGGAGGAGGTAACGCTGTTGATGCTCCTGCTGCGGCGTGTCTTCAACGAGTCGCCCAAGTTGTACACCCCGTTCGCCGTTATGGAGAAAGACCGGAGCCTGTAATATTCCACCCCGTCCTCGATCTCGCTCTCCTCGCCCCCCGCCACGCCACCCCCGCGTCTCGTTTCGGCCAGCATCGGCTGCAACAAATAAAACAATCGGATTCCAATTTATCCCGATCCCCGTTTATGCGAGTTTGACATCGACAACCCCGATTTAATCGTGAAAGACTTGGGGCGTGTTCCCATTTCCTCTCCAGTACTACCCCCCGTACTGGACGCTATTACTGAATTCAGTTTCTGAGAAAATCATTCCCAAACGAAACCTCGGTATCTTTCGCAATAATACAGCAGTTATTCTCTTCTAAACGCAACCATCCACACCTTTCCTTTGAGACTGAATGCTCGAAACTATCGGGGGTACTGAATTAGTAATACTGAGAGGAAATGGGAACACGCCCTTGGAAATTGCGTTGAAAGTTAAAATTCGCGTTCTAATTTTTCCGACTTTATATCTCGTCTTTCTTCAAGAAAGTGTTTCGAGGACTATAAGTGACGTTTAAATGAGAGACAATTTCTAATTGCAAATGGATAATCCCATCGTCCGCAAACGTCATCATTAATCGACAGAAGCTGCGTTGCGCGTGATATCTCGATGCGATTTGCCGACGCGTTCATTGATTGAATTATGAGCTACATGACGTAAATCGATGTATAAAGTTCTGTAAATTTCGCTGAGCGTCGACATGTGCATACGCTCGTTTGCCGTCCCTCGCAATTGCGAAACGGGGCGGAAAGGCGGCAGAAATACGCGACGTGTTCTCCAGCGGTGTATTAGGGTCGCGGCGAATCCTAACGCGTTCGTCAATCGATGCGAAACATTCGGTGACACAATCGCAAGCGTATTACCGTTATTCAGCCTGTCCGCTTGTGTGAACGCAGAAATTTAACTGAATGTCGATTCGAGATTTCGAGGGCGTCGACAGCTCGAATTCCGCCTCGCGTTTTCTCTTTTTCCTGATCAAGTTCACTCCGTTTCCTTGACGGTTGCAATGTGAAGCTTAGGAAACAAATATCGACCACGCCGCTCTGCACGAGTCGCAATATTAATCTTCTCGAATCCTGTATTTCTCGCGACGAGAAGTTAACATCGGCCATGTTTTCATTATGTCGAAGAACCCTCGCGTACGTTCGAATTACATCGCGACTTCAATTTGCTGAGTCCGAAGTCGCCTAACAAAACAAGAAGGCACGTTCTGACGAAAATAAAACGTAAGAGCTAAATTGATTGGAATTAAGGGACACGATCTAGATATTAAATTAAAAGTATCTCGATGTGCGTGTACGTGGTGCAATATTATACAATAATATAATAATGAAAGGTGCAAGAGTATAAATAAATTTAGTGAGAGCGAACTAAACATGGAATCATTATATACGCATGTATATTTAAAACGTGTAAATTTTCACCTTGCAAACACCTGAATAATTAAAATTGATTAAGTTGTGTCGGGAAAACCGTTGTAATAATATCCGTAATAATTTATTATATCAAAATTTTCTATCATTGTAGCACACGAGTACAAATTATTTCATAAATTATTGTACTCGCGATGGAAGTACCGAGTTTCGAAGATCTCGGCAAAAGCGCGAGGGATGTATTTAAGACGGGCTACCACCATGGCAAGGGTCTCATCAAGTTCAATATCAAGACCAAATCTGCCAAAAGATTCCAAATAACGAGCGACACGACGTTGAATTATGAGGCGTCAAAGGTTGTCGAAAATCATTATGCCCTTATATTTAGATATATTCTGATTCGCACATATTTGCATTCCTACACGGAACGTAAATTTTCGGTCATTTTATTTACGTTACCATTAATAGCGTCGAACAATATTTACTTATTATTATTTTGTCGATTATTCGTGGGGAAAAGCAAGCAAGCGGTGCGGACTGTTGCTTATTTCGCGAAAAATTTTTGCGTGAAATTTTGCTGAATCAACTATTTCAAGCGGCAATATTTACATTTAATTACACGCCGGATTATGCAGGCGATATATGCGTGTCACTGAATTCGAACTCGCGGCAGCTGTTGCTTTAAAAGCGGAAAAACTGTGGATTTTACGTTTTGTGAAGAGCACGTTTATATAGAAATATTTTAACGCATATGAAATATTTATTAATTTAGCAGCGTTAATGTATTCGATAAACGTCATTTATTCCTGTCTCTGAAATCGCACTGTATTATCGATTTATATGACAAGGTTCAAAGATAATAATGCAAAAATTGCGTATCAGAATTATGTTAACTGAACACTTTGATAATCCTGGAAGCAAGTGTTGTTTGGACGTCTCGAAGTTAGACGAAAGGATTAGGCGAGTTTACTCATAATCAATTGATGACAGCTCAACGGTTTAATGGAGACAAAGTACAAGGCGAATGCTGGGGCTCTGCTGTTAAAATGGACAACCGAGGGCGTGCTTTTCCTGGGATACGAGTTTAACGGGCTGCTAATGAAGGGCGTTGATTTGCTCTCCGAGTGCTCTTACACTCCGGAAACGGCCGCGAAAAGCGTGAAGGTCGGCTCCAAGTTCGCCAACGAGAGGATCAACGCACGCTGCGAGATCTGTTAGTCACGTCAAATTTCCTAATTAACTTTACGCCATTGATATGCCGGAAACCGCGTTTCCCCCGCGTTCGAAAGCGCGCGAGATCGCGTTCTCCCGAGTGTTAATCGCCTCATCGATAATACACGCGGACTTGCTCGGGCTTCCCTGTGAAGCACGAGCGGCAAAATTCGCGGAACAAATTCATCCTCTATTTATAAAGTTTTGCAAGGTAATGGCTTCGGCCAGGTCGCTGCTTGAGCGACGGATAAAGGGCTTCGTATATTGCGTTTGTATCTTCCCGTCTCGGGGACGAAGGAGACTAATTATATATACCGTCCAAACCTTTTATCAACTTGGCCGAAGAAAAAAATATGGTATAAAACTATGTCGTTGAAAGGAATCCTTTTCGCACTTTGTACAATCGGAACACTACGAAAAGTATTAATTATATGTACAAAGTAGCGCGGGCTCTATCTCTTCATACAAAATACTTTCTAATTTTACAAAATACGAGAAGCGTTTCCGTAATTAAATACTTGGTTCGCGAAATAATTAACATTCGGTATAAAAAATTACTGGAGCATCGAGTTTCCCGCTCCTCCCCTCTCTTCCTCCATCGCCCTCCCCCCTCCCCCCCCTCCGTGTCTAATTAATTATTTTACCGGAGACAGCAACGGCAAACGATATGGCTCTTTTATGTGAGATAAGTATAGAAATTTAACATAAAATCAAGTGCTCGCTAAAACAATCAGAGCGTGTGCATCCAGCTCGTTACAGTCCTCTCGAGTAATTTCGCTCCGAACGTTCTTCCTTCGTCTCGCGATTGCACGTTGCGTAACAGATGGAAACTTTAATAAATAATTCCTTCTCTCCGGCACAAACTCCTTTCCAATATCACGCAAAGTTGGCGAGGAACAATAGCGGAACTGCGTGTACCGAATGTTTACTAACAAGTCGCCGCAATTTCCGCGAACACGAGTTTCCGCGATCGCAATTGATACAGGCACTTCTCGAAGCTTGCGGACAAGCCACCCTGCTGCACGGTCGTTTCGTTCTATCGATGCGAAAACATCGGCTGAAGCCGTCGAACATTTGAGCGTGATAAAACGCATTGCAAATAGAGGCGGGCGAATTAAATTTCAGGGATTCCCAGCTTAGTGTCCGATTAAATACCGACGAGCGAAAGAATTAGATTTTCCTTTTTTGCAACCGACCGGAAAAACGCCATGACCGAAACACCTGTCTTTCCCCTGCGATCGATTACACGCGAGTAATCCGGCTGTAATGTCGCGTGTCGAGTCGTCGAGATTACTGGCTTTCCCGTTTGCAGCCAACGATCTGGACTCGGGCACCAGCTGGCTCGGCTCGGTGGTAGTCAAGTGCCGGGATCTACTCCTGGGGTACCAGGGCGGCTACGACGCGGCCACGAGCAGGGTGACGAGAAACGACGTCGGTGTCGCTTACGGCTGCGCCGACATTGACCTGCATCTCCGATGCACCTGCATACCGCGCGTGTACGGGCTCTCCGTGTTGTACAAAGGTAAACGGCGAGGTGATCTCCACGGCGAGGGTAACGCGATTTTTCCTCCCCGTTTTCCTCCGCGCGAACTCCGGGGGGGTTGAGAAACGCCGACGTCGCCGACGGAAGACTAATCATCCCCGTGACAACGGAGTAATTTCAGTCTGCTCCGTAATACCCTCCCCTCCCCCGTCTTGTGCTCTCGCGAAATCGCGCCGTCGTCGTCGTCGACTAGAACGGAACTGCTAAATTACCGCTGTCTTTCACGCGTATTAAGTAAATGGGGAGGGGGAGGGGGGGTTGAAAACGTGCCTGGCTCAGACGAGCGTAATGAGATCCCGCCGCTCCGTGTTCAGATAGGCGGAATACGGAGGACGTGTAATACAAATCGTTTAGCGCGTATCGGCGCACGTCACGGCGGCGTTATCAATTTTCTCGACGGAATCGGGAGAACAAGGGTGGAGAGGGCGATAATTAGCGGCGTTAGCGTGTAGAGGGTCTGTGACAGCGTCATGTAATGGTGACGTACAGCAAAGCTCAGACTGTAAACCGACACCATTCGCCGCTGGGATTATGCGAAAATTACGTAACGCCGCACGTCGATGGTCTCGCTTAAAATTGGGTTAAAATTATTCGCTCGAATCCTAACTCTTAATTACGTTCATTAACAAGAGGCGCGCGTTACCTTTTGAATTGACATACAGACGTTCGAGTGTCTTTCAGCCTTTCTGTTCTATCGATTGCAATATCTCGTCTGCTCTTCAGCGAGACCCGACCTGGACATCGCGGCGAACGGCATATACGCGAAACGAGGCGACGTGCAAAGGTGGATGGTCGGTGCCGCGGCCAAGTGCAAGATCGACGAGAGATCAATCCTGCGATTCAAGTTCAACACCGACCTCCAGTTAGCCACGAGCCTCCTGCAGAAGCTCAGCGACAGCGTCACGCTGATCCTCTCGCTCAACATCGACTGCGCGAATGTCACCCGCGGTGGTCACAGAGTCGGACTAGCGCTTAACGTCGAAGCCTAGACGAATCCAAGACGTACTATCGTTTGTCTGCTGTTGTGCGTTAATCGTAACTAAATTCAATAACGGTCGGTCGACCAGAATGGCCAAGGACTGTAAATGTATTTTTCTTTTGTACAGAAACTGTGACTTCGCGTGACAATTGAATAAGATTCTCGATAAGAAATTTCTCTTTAAGAAGACGAAATAATCTTTGTGAATTAATTCACATTGATTAGTTTGTTTGCTTTTTTATATTTTTGACGATTGCAAGCGGATGATTCGCTTAACTTTAAGTTCCAAGTTTAATTCGCGACACATCAACGGGAAAATGAAAAAGAGAGCTAATCAGAGACGCGGAAAAGTCGCCTTTTCTCCAAAGCGCTTCGCCACGCTCGCTCCGATTTTTCATTTTCAGTCGCGCGTCCCGCGATCGCGGGATTTTGATGAAATTCGAAAAGAGTGACAGCCGCGAGCGGTGATATCCTCAACGCTATTGTGGCCGTACACTATTCGGCGGAATTTACGCACTCCGTGTTTATTTCACTCGCCAATACGCATGAATCGTCGCCGTCGTTACGTAGAATCTTTCGACAACGGTTTCGCGGTATCGTTCACAATAGCAGAGGAAATTAACTCAGCCACGTGCGCCATCGATCTATGTATGTACGTGAGGCACGTCGTTACACGTTCCGCTATATTTGCCTGCCCATCGAACTCGTAAATTATTCTCTCTCTTTCTGTCTCTCTCCCTCTCTACCTCTCTATATTACGGAGAGAGCACATAAGACGCCACAAAGTCTTCTTCTACAATGTCTTTTTAGGGTCTGAGCAGAAAGGTTGTCGCAAGACTTAAGTCGGTGTCGGAAGTCAACGCACAAAGAATTGTCGTAGACGCGTGTCGCATTCATCGCATCGCAAGGCGTACGTCGTTAGGGCCTGAGCAGAATGGCCGTCTTGTACTCTTAAGACAATGTTGTAGGTTTTAAATCTCTGTCTCAAAGTAACGCACAATAACTGTCTTGTGTCTTAAGAATACAAGACAGCCATTCTGCTCAGGCCCTTACGGAGAGAACCACAAGGTCTTCTTCTACCGAAAAAGTCTTTTTAGAGTCTGAGCAGAAAGTTTGTCGTAATCGTACCAACTTGAGTCTTACGACAGAATTATAAACGGTTATGACAATCTTTCTGCTCGGGCCCTTACTCGGTTCAGGCTTTTTATGTATATCCCTTACCCTGTGACGCGGGACCGCCGGCATGCTGCTCGTTCTACTGCGATACTGCCTGGGTCCGGAGCCTCCACGAATCCCGGATGCCAGGCTAGCCGAACCGGAAGGACTCGTCGGACTGGGTCCGCTCGGACTCGCGCTCGCGCTCAGATGGGACGACGACGACACGGCACCGGGACTCAAGGCCGGCGTTCTGGTCGGGCTCCTAGGCGAGGGCGACAGGTGACCCCAGGGACCGGCCTCCGCTTGCAGAAATCTGCCGCACGAAAATAGAACGTTCTCATAGACACGTGCCGTCCGTCCGCGCGAATCCGGCGTTTCCCAATCAATTTACGTTTCGCGGTTCGCGGAAAGGCTCCGGCGCCCGGTTTTAAGGCGCTAAGGATTATTTTCGAGCGCCCGTCGGACAGATTGATTGCCGCGCGGACGTCAAGCGGACTGTGCGCGTTAACGATCAATCACTTTTACGAGGAGACGACCTGTGTAAGTCCGGCGTGGGTCTGGCGACCGCGATGCTGGAGCTTCTGCGCCTCGAGGGGGTCGGCGACTTCGGCCCGTCCACGCAGCTGTGACCCTGAGATCCGGACAGCGAGGTATGATGGAGTCGGACCTCGACCTCGCTGCTCCGCCTCTGGAAAGCCCTTTTGCTCCAGCGCCGGGTTTTCGCGTCGACGCTCGTGCCGTGCTCCGGCTTCCTGCAAGTTTCCGGATTAGCGGACGGGAGCGCACGTACTCGGGGAAACGGGGCGCGATGTTCCACGATTTCGCGAGCGGCATAATCCTATTTTTACGCACGCATCGCGCTATCGATTTTCTCCCCGAGTATCGCCGCTCTATTTCCGCGCCTCGCATTAAACTCAGTTTCGGTGGAAGATTGATTCATTACCCGCGGCGGAGGGTAGCGTGGAGTCGCCGCGCGCGCGACAGCCTCTAATCCGATTGCGAGAATCTCCAATGGCTTCGACCGATACCAAAGACTTCCCACGCGTGTTCGTCACATGCCGCGAACCCCCGCGAACAATCCGGATTGCGCTCCCCAGGTTGAGAAATGTAATTCCGAGCTAAAGTTGCCGAGTTCTCGATTGCGTTACCGAGCGGTATTGCGGCGTTATTGAGTTCGAAACTCCCAAATCGTCCAGACGGCTCGGATTTCGTATGTTCCGCTCGTTAACACGTCCGAGCACCGCGCTACTTTTCAAGTTCCTGATAAACCGTACGCACAGATTATCCCTCATTTCAATATTACGCTGCGTCGATCATTGTTTAATCGCATTAGGCTAATCTGATCAGCACCCGTACTGCTATTTACAGTTACTTAATTATACCGATTTCGACGTTTAGCAGTTAATTAAATCTTCCATGCCTCGATAAAGATGCTTTAATGTCGTTTTCGCCGCTAATTGACAATCGATTTATAAAATTCGGACAGCCTCGTCTTTGCTGGTTAATTAAGCTTTTCAGCGGATACATTTTAACATCGTTTCCGTTGCTGACTGACAACCAGTTTACGTACATCTATATTTCCTTTTCCTTTGCTATTCCCGTAAAACCGGTCTCCGTCTCTTCCTTCTTCCGTGTCAGAATGAAACTACTTGTTGCCTTCTTGCACAAGAATTATCCATGTGTGCTTTCTTACCTAAACCTTCACCAACGAAATATTTGCGGTGCTCACCTCGGTATGAGCTTGTCTTCGAGCATACTGGGCAGATCGTCGCCGTCCTCGGTGAGCGCCGCGAAGAAGTCCTGAAACTTGTCCGGGAAGCTGCTCGGCGGGCAGACGTTCATGGGAAGAACGCGTTCGGCAACATCCGGGGAGGTTCCCCCGACGATCTCATGACGATCCACCACTGTGGACGCTGCCATATATTCACTGGGAACTTCACAGGTCGTCATGTGTCACCGACGACTTCTCAGATTTGCGATAAGCTCGTTTTCCCCCCCATTCGCGCGCACCGCACGTGGCTCCTCGCGAGAACCTCGCGGCGCGACAGACGAATCGACGGGATCCGATCGACGGCGAGCTCCGAAGAGCGACGACGTGATCTAGATCAACGGTGGCACAGCCCCCACAATTCCACCGAGGAGGCGGAGGACACGCTCGCGAGAGCCTCGTAGGACACAGAGGACAATAACCGACGTAAATCTCAATATTAATTCGCAGCGGGACGAATCTTGGACGAGTCACGAGTCACAGTTTCCGAATGGGGGGATCTAGCGATAAGGAGCGAGATGCGAAGCGGCCGCTACCAACACCACTCGCGCTTTCACTCTCGTTCGAGAGCAACTCGAGAGCGATATAGCAGCTCGCGTGCCGGTTCCGAGGGTCCGGGATCCGCGGGGCGATCTACGGATCGAAGGACGTGCTCATCCCTCATCGTTCCCACCCGACGAACGATCGCGATCCCACGAGGGGCGATCGGGAGCGCAACGAGGGATCCCTCTCGTCCGGCGAGCGACCGCGGCTCTTTTTTTCACGACGAGGACCTGGCGAAAACTGAAGCTCGCATGGTTGTTGCACGTCGTTCGCTGGCTCCGGCACCTTGTCGGACTTGCGCAAGCGTGGCTCACCCCAAAACTCAGCGAACGGGTGGATTCGCGGTATAACGTCGTAAAAGTGATCGTCTCCCTCTCGTTCGCCCTATCCACCGCAATCATCATGGAGCGAAGGGGCGCTTTGTGGCGGCTGACAATGCGAAAATGAGAAACGAGCCTGTCACGAATAACTTAACTTTGCGATCGCGAGATTTATTTCTTCGCGCGTCGCGAGAGAAACGCGCCTAAGGTAACGAGGGATCTTGCGCGGAATGTAAAATTATATCTCGACTGCGAGCGCGAGAAATTGTAGAACGATAATTTCCCGACGTTATCGAGGAGAACGCGATAACGAAATTGCTGGAACAGCCTTCCTCGATTAGATTCGTGCTACTTCGGGTGCGTGTCACACGAATGAGAGAGGACACGAAGTGTAATTTGATCAACCTGGAGCTCGTGGTCACGGAACGCGTGTAACGCAATAGAAAACCCAACGGTGAAATTAAGAATGTATGCATCGGAGATGCCCCGGAGAAGCAATTCTCGTCGCGACGATAAACGAAAATTTCGTGCAAGACGTGACAAGGGGGGCCATGCGGAACGGTAGAGAGAAGTGGCCTGAGAAATGACGTTCTCGGGAGCGGATCCTAAAAATCAGTTTGAAAAGCGTTTACTTGACTCTCGCATGTGGACTCGAGCTCGTTAAATACTTTCGCATAGAGGAAGATGAAGTCTTCGCTTAGCTTCCACGAACGTGCCGCTCAGTTTTATACATACACTGTTTAATGAGAAATTTCTCAAATCCGCTAATACAATTAACAAGAAATGTCCGCTGCGTTTCCTTTGTGCAACACAAAATGCAATATGCTTTGAATTGATTAAAAAGCTCATTTAGTCTCGAGAAGGGGGGAGAGAGAGAGAGAGGGGGGAGGGAGGAGGGAAAACGTGGGCCTGGAAAGGGAAAAGTAATTCAAGGAGCGTCGTAACAAGGAACAATCCCCCGGTTTCAGCGAGATACACGTTCCCGCATCCTCCTCAATCCTGGGGGGACCGAGTATTGTTCGGGCTGATTACACGTAGTCGACGTATACGGATGTGCGTTGCGTGTAAGAGGGTGATAAACGGGACGGAATGTAAATTCGCGAAATAAGAAGCGCTCTTAAAGTACGCCCGACCGGAGGGACGAAGCAGCGGAGCTCCAGTTTTGGCACAGGAGGAGATTCAGAGCGCCGGTAGGTCTCTTCTCTCCGCGTTATTACTACTACTATATGCGCGGGAATATCCGCCGCCGTCTCGGTTCCGAGGCAACTATTTTTCCGAGGACTATTCTATGAGAAACGCGAGAGGTATCTCGCCGTAACAATCTCCACGTAAGGACGTCCTTTCGGATTACCTTTGACGAGAATATCTTATTTCCAACGAGCTGACTTTCTTCTCTTTTCTCTCGACGCTGGAGCAAAGTACAGAGTCGGAGCGCGATGTTAACATTTGGATGGAATCAATTTAAATGTTTCACGTCCCGTAATCCGACGCCATATGGCCTTCGGCGTGTAATCTGGGGGATTCGCGAGATCGATTGTTTGAGTAATGGCGGTACGGTACGACGACAAAAGGCTGTTCTCCAGTCTGGCGGAAATTGTGAAGGAAATTATACCCACACACACACACATATATATATTATATATTAGTAATTTATATACATTATTTCGAACGATATGTAATAAATCCGCAGATGCTTTGTTGCATGCGCGTGCAGTTGTAAACGAGTAAATATTAATATCGCTGTGAGAGCGAAGCAAACTATCTGGGCGGAAATACCAACGACGGACAGTGTCAACATTTTCCGGGCCCCGTAACTACGTGAGCTACGGAATTAATTAGCTTACGAGACATGTTAACGCCACGCGTTAGCGGGCCTACCCGTACTCTTGTACTCCGTACATGTTTTCGATACGTACTCGATATTCAGGATTCCATTGAAGCGATAACAATTACGCAAGACAGACCCGTAAATCGAAAACAATGACCGCAATTGCGCGGTATAATAACTGCAACAAAATAATAACTTGTTACCGCTGCTTTCCCGGGCAAGCGAGTTAGCGTAGCTATTTCTTCTTAACTACTTTAAATGCGAGCAAATGAGATTTGTCGTTCCATCATCGGAGAATTTTTCTTCATAAAACTTGAAGAATTTTCCGCAGTCGGAAATCGCGATGAGAGTAAAAAGAGAATTACGTTGAGGTGGGTCGATGCGGTTCTCGTTATAATGGGGATTGAAACGCGCGTACGTCATTAATTAACAAGGGGTATTCACCGCAAGGGTTTAAATATTTGTCCAGAGCATCCAGCTATTACCATGATTTACAGGGAAAATGAGAGCCCGCCGTTGAGGAGGAAAAGAGAGGGTGAGAGAGAAAGGGAGATGGGGGGGAAGGGACGAGTGCGGTCCAACCATGTCAGATTCGGGAGGCTCTCCCAATTCACGAAGGGATCGATCCACGCACGTGAATGGGCTACGAGCTCGGAAACAAAACAATGGGTCTCGTGGTAGGAGCAACAGTGTCTGGGCAGAACATCGACAACACCTAGGCTGTACTCTGGGGGAAAAAAGGACAGCAACCCATTTTGGGGCCCACAATTAGTAATCGAATTATTTGGATTGTTCGTAAACTCTACTTTGGGAAAAATGTTGACTGTTTCTGTTTGTAGTTAAGCAACTTAATATTTCGGTCAGTGCCTCGTAAGTGGAAATTATTTTTGCGTTACTGAATTTTATTTTAGTGGAACCATTCAATTTCAGCACTTCCAACAGTTGTAAAAAATATTCTGCTAAACGCGGCCGATGTTAACTCAATATAATTTGACAATGTTTTCTGAATGTTGAATTGTATCGTTTACAAGACGTTACAATTCAGCGGACATTAGACGTTTTTGCAATATCTTTCCAACATTGAATCTACGTTTCGTCACATTGATGCAATATTGCAATGTTGTGATGAAACGTTTATGAGATGTTGATTCAACATTTGTGTGCTGGGAAATAGGCATTTTGCTCTGATTAAACGCAAGCTACGAGGGTATCTTTAAGACGGATAAGTCATCCCTCCCTGCACTATTCTTCACCCCGCGCTAATAGTTTTACGTAATTCGTCGATCCTAAGGTGGCATTTCGATCAGCGAATTACGCAAAATTATTATCTACTCGACACCATACTCGTCGCTAAATTAGCGGAGGAGGAGAGCGTGGAGATCGAGAGACGGTGGTTTCTCGTTTCCGGGGGGGAATTAAATCCGATCCGCGCGAGTCTGCACAAGTTCTCAAGGATGCAAGGTAGAAGGCGGGCGCGGCGCGAAGGCGCGATCCCTCATTGTCAGTATCTCTCTCTCGGAGTGTCAAAGCTTACAGCATCGACGCGTGCGACGCGGATTATATTACCGGGGAGCTAAATTATGATACAGCCAGTGTGAGGGAGATCGCTCCGCCTCTGCCCGTCTCACACGCGTCGCTTTTATCTTTAACATAACACGACCTTCGCTTATCAACTTCGTCCACGAGACCTTTGAAGTTCGGGACGCGGAATTTCCTCTGCGAACCCAAAGTTCAGCCCCTCCCGCCTCGTTCTCTCTTTAATTAATTGCCTCTTGGGGCAGGACGACGATGCGATATGGAGCGTTCGATAAAGTATCGGAGTTATTTTTAATCCAATTAGCCCGCTGACTCTTTCCTTCCGTACTCGACGCGAAATCTCCGCCCGGACGCATCCCCGTGCGACGGAAAAAAAAATATAAAAGTTAATCCCCGATCCTCTTAGTCACCCGTCAAAGCTGTCTGCGCGTTTCCCGCCACTCTCCGCCTTCCCTACCTGTCGCTCTTTCGCCGGAAAGTCTCAAAGTCCGTTGGTAACTCGTTCATTGTAACTCGGGCTCGCAACATCGACAACCATCCGCCGTGACGCGCGATGGCATGTCGTGCACCGTCGGTGCATTCCGTGAACGCGTACCGTGCGGACGTACGCACACCTGTACGCACGGTCAAGCAGGTGACAAGCGTGTCACTCGGCTCGATGATTGGTAGATCGATAGGACTCTTGATTGAGCCTGATGGCTGGTCGCCGCCACCCCTGTCGTCTCTGTGATGTCAGCAGCCCACGGAGACCCCGGAGTCTCCGGAGCGCGATAAATAGAGGACCGGCGATAAGTGCCATGGCGGCGAGGAACGGGGGGGAGGGGGCTCCTATTCACAGACCGGTGACCCTTTCGAGAGTTCGCCGAGGCGAAAGGAGACTTTCCGGCCGCGTGAAGACAATGCGCCAGCCTATCTGCGCCGCTTCTTTTCTCTTCTTTTTTTCCTCTCCCTTTTTCTTCCTCATCCGAGGCCGCAACGAGACGCGTCAGCGATGCATCAGTGATGCAGATAAAGCGCGTCCCCGGCGGCTTCGCGTGAGGAGTGCCTCGAGGACGACTTCCGATTAAGATCCGCGTACGAAGCATCGATCCGCCCTGCATCCAGGGCGACGTGGAGACGAGAATGGACGTGATAATGACGCGCACCGACGGCTGACTCGAAACTCTGATTGACGCGGCCGTTCATCCCGCGTTAATCAATTGTCACGCTGTGTTCACTCAGCCTCCGTTCGCGTGCACGAATCTCGGTGACGGAAAACAACGCGAGGCTCGAGCGAAGAGCGGACAATCTTGCATCCGCGACGAATGTAACGCGGGATCAGAGAGCGACGCCCGGGATGAAACGAATACCAGATGTTCGTATATTTGTCAGCGTATCAAGGAGGGCAGGAAAGAGACCGTACAGAAGTCCGGAA